GCCTTTTTTGATAGTTTCTTCTATGAATGCAGTGTAGTGTTCATGGTACTGTTTATTGGCCTTAACCTTTTCTTTATATGTTGAAGTTGAAAAATGGCCAGCCTCTTATTGTTTGGTAGTGCCGGTTGACTGTTGTGTTTGAAGGGTAACCGCATCTCCTACTGCCCATCTTTCTTTTTCATTATGGTTTTAGAGAGAAACTGCACAAAGCAAACATCATGAGACACGTACTTGTATTCATAATTTCGTTCAATGAAGTCCATTTCTAAAGCCTTTAAAACATCAGTGACTGGGGGTATTGGCATTTCTTTTACTGCGACTCTGTATATGAAGCTCTGGCTACCCTGTCTATCAAGATGTGAATTTGCTGATGTTATAATGCTCCAGCCAAGTAAAGTTTTTTGAGCAAAGGGTTCATTTTCTGAGCCTGTAACGACCTCCAAGGGAGCCAGTCCAACTTCGCAGTCTTGAAGTGGCTGTAACTTGTTTGCCAAGTGCTTGAGGTGTGACCACTAGAGTGCAGTCTCCTTAGTGAGACTTATCTACTGGAATGAAATCTCTCATATTGGCTTGACGGAGTTGGACTTAAACTTTAGAGTTGAGGCCACGCACTTGCAGACCATGAGCAATTTGGCTTGATATAACTGTGTAAACAGCTGTCATTGTGCTGAACTTTTGCTGTAATTGCTTGGTGCTCACACTTAGCTTGGATACCAGGTCTGCCAAAATAAAGGTTAAATCACTCTGCGTGTAAAGTAAGGTGTAAGTGAAGATTTCTCTCGGGGGTTCAGCTGCAGCTGGCAACAGAATTGGAACAATGCAGGATGTGTCAGAAGTCAATGTATGGGACATAACTTTGGGAACGTTGTCGTTTACCTTATTTCCCGTGGCTACTGGATCATCATTTGGTGTTGAAAGGCTCAGTGTTTCTCTGTATGTGCAAACAGGTTGGATGACTTCAACTACATATGCTACACGTGTGTTTTCCTTTGCAGTATTTTGTAGTGTGGCCCTTTCTTAAGCAACTGAAGCAGAGATGGTTTTCATAAAGGAAGGCCTTCTTTTCATCAGTGTTTTTTGCTGCAAAAGTTAGACATTTAGCGATACCGTGTGTTTCATCCTTGCAGACTGGGCAAGGTGGCTTTGGTCTTGAGATCAATGGGGCATGTAACGGATACCTCCACCGACAGATGCTCCTAGCACTTCTCAAGAACCATCAGCACCGCACCAGACACCATAAGCACGGCAGACTCCACGAACCGCCGTAGCTTGGTTGGGATCTCGCCGTCTGCTTCCCACCCTAGGTCTCTCCTCCAATAGAGTATAGCTGGGTCTCTCCTCCAGGAGAATATAGCTGTGTAGATGAAGAGTGCTCTTACAAGAGCTAGCAGTGATCCAGGGGAGTATACAGAGTATAGAAATCCCCAGTGTGATATAGCAGTACCCTACAACACGAGACAAGGCTGAAAGTTCAGGGTAAGAAGGTCTGGTGTAATGAGCACAAAGGCATTTCTTTAGTACACATTTTCAGGCCAAAGCACACCCCCCTGGACCTGATGGTACACAGGGACAAAAGGGACACAAACCAATGGGAGCAATAATTAACACAGTAACACTCCCACATGCAGTCAACAATCCCTCCCCTCTGCCTATGACATAATTAAGCTAGCTAATGGAATAACCTAATTATCCACAGGCAGAAAATATCAATTTTTACCCAAAGTCCAGAAACACCCCAAAACACATACATAGCCCCATAAATTATACATCCCTGGATAGCCCTGATCTGGGTGAACAACATACCCAATAATCACCCAGATCAGAGCAGGGGTTCAAAAGTTTTGTGGAAGTCATATTTGACCGACCGCATGCACATTTTCATGCCCAAAACAGTTCCAGAGAATAAGGCTGTGCGGACGGTCTATTTCCAATGTTAACTTCTGTTCAAATAGACGAACGGCAACCGTTTGTGCAAACCGTCAATGTTAAAGTGTCGTTCGAATTGTCGAACAGCGTTCGACTCCAGTCAAAGCGTCGATGTCTGGAGAAGGTAGTTCAGCGGTGTTCATGCTGTCGCGTGTCCGATTTGAGTTCCATGAACAAACACCGCTGAACGTGTGCGACTGAATTATAATGGCCGCCACCACGTGTTCATATGTCGAATGGTGGTCACTTTGACTACTTCGGCTGTATCCAAAGTGCAGATCCTTTCCCATAGGATTTAAAGGGGCAGAAACAGTGTATTAAAACCCTATACGCCCAAATAGGGTTTTTAATAGCAATACACGCCAGGGGCCATAGTCACAGGGCAGGAGGCTGGCGAAGTTCAATTCGTCACAGGGTACTGGAGATGGAGGGTTTCATTTGAGTTCTTGTGTTGAGTGCCTTAGCTCTCTTGGGAATTCTCTCATCTGTAGTCTTGGTACTGAGAGGGAAGGGAGAGGAAATGGGGTTGCATGCAATCTTGGCATCCTTTTGCAGGAACTCTGTGAAATGAGCAAAGGTTGGGTATTCTTGAGACTTATCTAACTCATCCACAACGATGCGACTCCATCTGCGCACGATCCATTCAGGCAATTTCTTGAGAAGCTTGTGGTTTTCTTCACAATCATTTAGAATAGCTAGGCCTTTAACATGAGGAATGGCCTCCACACAACCTTGAAGGAAATCTGCAAACTCTCTTAATGCTACAGGGTCGTTTTCTGATGTCTTTGGCCATTTAGTCAACCTTTCTCTGAAAGGTCTTTGCACAATGAGTGGACCTCCCTGTCCTGCAGGATCGCCCAAGAACCTAGATAAGCGTCTTCTGAATTTCGATAGAATAAACCTTCCACTGCCTTACGAGCTACCTCTTCAAGTACAGCATTTTTTCGCACACCGGGAGTGGTTTCAATAAGTGCGATAAAGGATATCTTCCAATCTATGAACTTTAGAGGATCACCTGAAAATACAGTTGGTTCAGGAAAAGGGAGATGGTTGGAGATGAGCAGACTTGCAAGTCCTGGAGTTAGACTAACTTCTTCTTGTGGTCTTGACACCTCAATTGGTATATTTGGAGGTTGAAATGGCACAGTGTGCGGATTCAATGAGGTTTGAGGTTCATTATTTTGGCAGAAGTATTGCACCTTGTGGTCTGTCACCTGTTCACAATTTTCAAGACCATCATAGGCGTTGTAGGCTTTCACTCTTGCTTTGACTTCATTTTCTGCTTGTAGCTGTTGTAGCCTTGTCTTTTCCTCATCCATCTTCAGTTTAATTTCTGCCTTCAGTTTGTTCAGCTTAGCTTGTTGCTCACGCATCTGTTGCATCGCCTTTGCCTGTTCTATCTTGGCTGGAAGGTCAGCTTCTGCATCTGTGCGTTTGATAGAAGATCTGGAAGTGGCTCTCGAGCTTGAGTTGGAGTCTGGTAATGACTCAGAGAGGACAGTTTCAGTTTCTGTGTTTCTTCTTTATTAAGTACTTGTGCTCTACTTTTTCTCTTTCCTTCTCAAGTTGATCATTTAAGATTCCGTCTACATTCTCTAGCCGTTTGCTGGTGAGGTAGAAGAATTCAGCTGTTAAAGCAGCGCATGCATCTGTGACGAGACCAATCTCGCCACTGTGCATTGGAGGAGCCTGGTTGCCTGCCTGCTGCCTTTTGACTATGGACCGGCATTCAAATACTTTATTTTCCTATGCAGAAAGGTCTATTCATGTATTTCTGCTCTGGCGTTCGGTAGATTCTCAGATTTACTGAATTAACTCATTTAACCCAGATAGCTATGCCATGGAGCCTATTCGTGTAATAAAAGACTTTGGCTCCATGGCAATTGAACTGTATGTGTGTGGTCTGAGCGCCATTCAGTAATAATGTGCGCTCAGACATAAGCTATCTGGGGATATGTTGCATGTCTGTATTTTATGTAATAATGTAACCTTTTGTATTTTATTGTATTTTACTGTCTTTTTACTGCCATGTGCTTAATGGAGTTTTGCCTCTGTCCTTGGAGATAATTGGATTACTTCCCAATTATCTCCAGGATAGAAGACTCTGTGGAACTGGTTTTGGGCAGAAAAGCCATGCTTCCTTTGGTCACAAAGGACTTCAATCTAACCTTTGACCCACTGGACCATATTTGGAGTATGCTGATTCTTAAAATGTAAGTTTGTGAATGTGATGCATACTTTTAAAGTTATGAATAATGTGGAAAAACTGTATTTCTCTGCCGGTGATAATTACATTACCCATTGTGTAAGGTAATTATATCACAGGCAGAGGGGAGGATTTTGTTTGGGAGTGTCTGAGTGTATTGTATGTGTTTATTGGTTATTTTCCAAAACACTGTGGGTGGTACTAATGTGTATATAAGAACAATAAACCCACAGCTCTGTCTGTTCCTGCTTGACACTCAAAACGGAGCCTTGTCTCGTTCTTGGGGGGATTTATTGTATGCTGTTCCAGTTCGACTGCTAGGAGTGTAAACCTATTCGTATGGTTTTTCCTATTCGGCTGTTTACAGCTTTCGTATGTTTGAGAGCATTCATATGCTTCTCCGATTCGGTGGATTGGTGTCTACATTAGCTGCCTGTGTCTCTGGAAGGGGAAGATCTTCTAAATGGCGGTTTAACCCTTTTATGCCTGGGGGTGCCGTTACAGCATCCATTCTCTTTACAACGTTTGGGGTAGGGGAATGATTGCGGCAAATGGACTCATACTGTTGGTGTACTAACGCTTCTTTGGCTATAATCACCTTCAGTCTTGTATCAAAAAAACACTTGAGTCATCTTGAACAAACACTCTTGATACTTCATCTGTTAAGTAAAGCTTCCAAGCATCAATCTTTAGATTCAATTGCTGCTTTTCATGAACAGAGATAAGTAACTTTTACAGCTTAATAATTATTCTCTCATTGAATTCTATTGTAAATTTCAGGTGCCATAGATTAGTTTACCTGTCATGTTTAATTATTCCGTTTTATTTTACCTCAATACCAGTGTCTTACCAGGAAAGGTTAAAGGATCTTAACATGTATAGCTTGGAGGAAAGGCGAGACAGGGGGGATATGATAGAAACATTTAAATATATAAAGGGAATCAACACAGTAAAGGAGGAGACTATATTTAAAAGAAGAAAAACTACCACAACAAGAGGACATAGTCTTAAATTAGAGGGACAAAGGTTTTAAAATAATATCAGGAAGTATTACTTTACTGAGAGGGTAGTGGATGCATGGAATAGCCTTCCAGCTGAAGTGGTAGAGGTTAACACAGTAAAGGAGTTTAAGCATGCATGGGATAGGCATAAGGCTATCCTAACTATAAGATAAGGCTAGGGACTAATGAAAGTATTTAGAAAATTGGGCAGACTAGATGGGCCGAATGGTTCTTATCTGCCGTCACATTCTATGTTTCTATGTTTCTATGTCTCGCCTCCCTAACCACTGGACAAACCTTAGTCTCTCTCTCACCTGCATAGCATGATGGTCCAAATCTGCTATAAGAGGCCACACCCTGCTTCTCAGTGTTGCCTTTACATTGATAGAAGTTTGTGTTCTGTTCCTGAGACGACTTCTGCTCCTGGCTCATACTAAGAAAGCATGCTCTACTCTGAATACCATTATTCCAACCAGATCTACACAACAAACCTGCTTTATTTCTATATTGGACTTTGTTTCCTTATTGCTTCTGTTCCAACCTACCTGGATATTACTTTCCTTTTATTTGCAAGTATCCTAAAAGACCCTATTATAACTTTCTGTAACTGCAGCTTTGACATCAAACCAAAGAGGCTGATCACCTCAATTTCTAACCTTAACTGTATTACTTTTATCCTTTATATTTCTGTTTAATTCTATCTAATTGTATTTTGATTACCCGTCACTAGTGATGTCGCGAACCCGAAATTTTCGGTTCGCGAACGGCGAACGCGAACTTCCGCAAATGTTCGCGAACCGGCGAACCGCCCGAACCGCCATTGACTTCAATGGGCAGGCGAATTTTAAAACACACAGGGACTCTTTCTGGCCACAATAGTGATGGAAAAGTTGTTTCAAGGGGACTAACACCTGGACTGTGGCATGCCGGAGGGGGATCCATGGCAAAACTCCCATGGAAAATTACACAGTTGATACAGAGTCTGGTTTTAATCCATAAAGGGCAGAAATCACCTAACATTCCTAAATCACAATCAATATGGATTGACACCTGACATATGACATATTGACACCTTGACATATGGATTGACACCTGTCCTCAGAGCCCCTGATGCACACGGACACAGAGCAGAATAGAGACTGGTCCCCCTACATAGGGTCACTTGGCAGATATGGATTGACACCTGTCCTAAGGATCCCTGATACACACTGACACAGAGCAGAATAGGGACTTTTCCCCCTACATAGGGTCACTTGGCAGATATGGATTGACACCTGTCCTAAGGATCCCTGATACACACTGACACAGAGCAGAATAGGGACTGTTCCTCCTACATAGGGTCACTTGGCAGATATGGATTGACACCTGTCTCTTAGACCATGATACACACTGACACAGAGCAGAATAGGGACTGTTCCCCCTACATCGGGTCACTTGGCAGATATGGATTGACACCTTGTTACAAACTGCTATTTGTAACGGGCCCTTTAAATGGCAAATTGCCCTGCTTCCCTGGGTTGTGGAGAAGCCTACTTGCCAGCCTTCTCCCGCATGACTATGGCCCCTGGGAGATTGTGAAAATGTATGCACTTTTATTTGGTGTGTATGGCCCTTTAAGACTATCGGTGGGAATATTGGGGCTTATGGACTCTTTATGTGACTGGTGCTGGCCCTTTAAACACCTTTTTTGGGACATCAGGAAGATTGGGACACTGCCCCTTAAAGGCCGTGTCCCCAGACTTGTTGGGGACACGGCCCCTTTAAGACGGTGTCCCCTGTGTCCCCAGACCTGGTGCAAACCCTTTGTGCCTGCCTGGCTATTTCCCACTTGGTTCAGTAAATGGGGCTTACTGAACCAAGTACCACACAGGCAGACCACCCAGAAGTGGAAGTGTGCAGGCAATTTACCTCCCAGAAGCTGCGGTTAACCGCAGCTTAATTGACAATGCTGGGAGGTCTTTGTTCGTTTGCCGAACACGTGGCGGCGGCCATCTTTGATCATTCAACGAGGTCAGCGTATGTGTAGCCAAATTCATGGAACTAAAATCGGCTACACATTTCCGCCAACACCGCTGAGCTCTACCTTCTCCCCTACTGGTTTTACAGCTGCAGAGACTAAGTCCCATTCGGCGATGGGACTTAGTCGATTTTTCAGCCTGAAATAGACCGACCGCACAGCCCAAATCTATGGAACTATTTTGGGCAGGAAAATGTGCTTGCGGTCGGTCATAAAGGGACCTCCAGCTAACTTTTTAACCCCTGGATGGATTTGGCTGATTTTTGGTTATGTTTATGTTTTAAGTGTGCTGATTCCAAATATGTAATTATGAAGATGGGATGTGTAGTTTTTAAAGTTACAGTGTATGGCTAAAAACTGTATTTTTACTGCCTGTGTTTAATTATGTTAATCTCTTCCCAAACGTCATTTCGTTCAAAGTGGAGAGAATGTTAAAAAAAAATATTTTTGTTCGGAGTGTGAGAAATGCTTTTCAGCCGCTTCTAATCTTAAGCATCATTTGAGG